AGTAAGGTTCCCTTCTGAATCATGTCTTTTTTACTAAAGCTTAGGGTTTGTTTTCTTGAATTTTATAAGGATGTATAAAAACAGATTTAACAAGTTACAAGTTTGAAGTGTGTTGTTCATATCAAATCCCATGTATTTTAGCTGGTGATTAAATCTTGCATAGACATTCCATGACCAGAATTCTTCAATTGTTTTATAGCTTTCCATCGTCGTTTAAAAATTTTTTCTTTTGATAAAATACATATAACAAAATTTACTGTTTTAATGATTTCAAATGTACAGTTCAATTTGTGTTTGTTTTTGGTATCTACGGGCTTGAACTCAGAGAGGGCCTTGAGCTCTTATTCTGCTTTTTGTACTCAAAGCTGGCACTTACCCTTTGAGCCACACCTCTTTTCTTTCTTTTTTATTATTGATTCATTTATTTATTTTGCTGATGAATTAGAGATAAGAGGCTCATAGACCTTTCTGCCCAGGCTAGGTTTGAATTGAGATCCTCAGATTGCTACTCTTCCTGAGTAGGATCACCTGTATGTGCCACTTGTGTCAGGCACCTTGGGGTTATTAAATAATGTAAAATGAAAATGCTTTGAATTTTTTTTCACTTTTTCTAAATGTAAAATATGTGTTCTTTTGTCTCTTTGTGATATAGTCTTAACCTTTAACTTTATAATATCTATTCAGTTACTTTGCTGTTTTTGTATTAGTCATCCTTGAAGTATGCAAGGCTGAGTCAGCCTGCTATTTGCTGAGATGAGTTAATGTGATGTGCACTACCTGGGACATAGCAAATGGTACATAAGTGTTTTGTGTTGAAAGAATCGATATTTAGATGGATGACTTAGCTATTCCACATGTGTTCTGTGAGACCCCTATATCTTGGAAGAGAAGACAAATGTATTTAACTTCTCCTGTAGGAGAAGTTGAACATCAAGTAATATATTCTCCATCTTATGATTTACTATCTTTTATCCCAAGTTATTTGCTGGTTTTTGTGTTTTGGCCCAGTTCCCTTGTAAAAATAGTAATTTATGCGTATCCTTCTCCTGTGTCTAGTTTCTGTATATGGTTTGTATTCTCCCCTTCATTTTCTCCTTTTATTTGTGGCAGCTGTCTTTTTCTGGTTAGTGTGTGTGTGTGTGTGTGTGTATGCTCGTGTGCACATGTGCACGCGTGCGTGAACGCACACACACATGCACTTTCAAAAAACAGAAGGAATCCCAAATTTGTGTAAACCTTTGAACCAGAACTCACTCTCCTCCCTTGGAAACTGTCAGTTGGTTCTGTGATATACGATATTGCTAAGTGAGCAGGGTTTGGTAGAAGTCAGACCTTGCTTTTTTTCAGATGGTTCCATTAGCACTTCGTAAGGTAGAAATATATGATTTTACAGCCTGAGAACAGTATTCTGATAATCCAGCCCTGAAATAGGTATTCCCTTGTTTTTTTTCTTGCCTTTTTAAAAAAGCTTTTGAGACTTTTTAAAAAATGTAGCCAAGATATTCTTGAACTCTTTATTCTTTTACCTCAGCCTTTTGAGTCCTGGGATTGCAGGTATATTCCATCACATCTAGCTCCTCTGTTTTTTGATAACTTTTGCATTTCTACAGGGTTGGTGAAATACACAAATTAAATACTGACATCTTATTAATTGTTGTTTTTCTAGGTTGAGAATGGAGATGAGATAAAGACCCTCCGTGAGCTTCATGATTTGGTGTACTTTCAAGCCTGCAGCTGGTTTCAGAATTTAAGAGACAGATTTCGAAGCCAAATCCTTCAACACTTTGGATCAATGCCTGAGAGAGAGGAAAACCTTCAGGTAGGATGACTTTATATTGCTTTTAAAAGTTTTACTCTTGTGTAAGCTTGGATTAAGAACTTCTACATTTTCTTCTTTCATTTTCCTTTGTATAATATTTCCTTTGACCCTGTTTTTAGACCATAGCGATATTCTCTGAGCAGCAGTACACACTACAGTTTACATAAGGCAGAGGATGGAAGTAGCTTCCATCTGCAGTGCTTATGAGAGGGAGACAAGAAAGGGGAAAGTTCTTCTCTGAGGCTTTTCTGAAGAAGAGATAAGGGATTAAAAATGAGATGTTGCTATCTGTAAAACTGATTGAGGCAACTAAAAACAAAAACATCGACCATACAGGAATGAAGGGTCTACTGTAGATTGTAGAGTTTATATAGTAGTTGGAGACCTGGAAGAGTGGAGGTCAGGGGCACCTCACCACAAAGCACAGGTGGAGCATATGGTGTCCAAGAATTCTCCAGAAAGCTGCTGCCCATACTTTGGATCAGTACCTAGAGAATGACCACCTCTTTTCCAGTCTCTGTACCACACCAAGAATGCATCTCTTTGACTAAGCCTAACCTGGAGACACAGGGAGGAACAGATTCTGGGAAGTGTAGTTTTTGATGTCTGGAATGCTAAGGATTGGTAGTGATGATTACTTGAAAATGGACAATATACGGATGTAGAAATTAAATTTGGATCTAGAGGGAGCTTATTGAATTCAATACTGTTCTTTATTGTCATTCTGAGGCTTCATGTTCAGGTCCAGTAAAAATAATGCGTTGAACAGTAAAGGCAGCTTATAAATCCTTTTATGTAAATTCGTATCTTTGCATTGGCATTAGTCAGCCCTTGCAACACCAGACAAAAGTATTTACTGGAGATGTGTTTATTTTTCCAACTAAACTGAAAGCCATGACTTTTTTCTTTTCTCTTTTTTTTTGTAAGATCTCACAGAATTTTTTTGATATTAAAAAAAATTTAGGTGTCCACAACTTTAAAGTTAAATAATAAAGGAAACTGTTCAGTCAGGGACAATTTTGCTCCCATGGGACATTTGACACTATCTGGAGATACTTCTGACTATCACAGCTGGGGTGATGCCATTGGCATCTAATGAATAGAGATGCTGCTAAATGTACTACTATGAACAGAACAACCTCTCAATACAAAGGATTGTCTGCTTCCAATGTCAGTGGCCTGAGGCGGAGAAACCATGCCCTAAGGCAGTGCAATAGAGAGGAACAAGTATTGACTGTGGAGTCACAGACACTTAGATTGTATTTGTCAGCTTCAGCTTCCCTATTTATGTCTGGCATAATAATAGCCTGCCTTACATGATTGTTAAGGGAATTTGAGACAGCACTTGGCATGTAGTACAGTGCTCAGTATAAGTAGCTCTTTAGTGGTTTGTTATTGTTACATAAATAGTAGGTTTTTGTTTTTTGTTTTAACTTGTAGGCAACCCCTAATGGACCTGCTTGGTGTTGGTGGCTTCTTGCTGTTCTTCCCGTAGATCCTCGATATCAGCTGTCAGTGTTGTCAATGAAATCTTTGGAGGAGCGGTTGACGAAGATACAGCATATACTGACCTATTTTTCTAGAGACCAATCGAAGTAACTGTGCTTGGATCTTAAAGTTACTCTGATCTGGCTGTGTTGATGGCCAGATTATCCGCTGCCTTTGCACATCCAGTGCTGGTTTAAGAAATGTAATGAAATGGTTTTTTGTTTCCTTCAACCTCCTGAATCTTGGATCTGCAAATGAATACCTTCAATTAGGATTTAGACCACTAATAACTTGCACAGTAAAACACACACTGAATGTGTGTCAAACCTCTACATTGTGATGAAGTTGCACTATGTATCATACTCTTAAAATGAACTAAATGCTTTGTGTATGTATGTAGTGTGTGTGTGTGTGTGTGTGTGTGGTTGTGTGTGTGTATGCGTGTGCACGTGTGCGTTCACATGTGTGAGTAGTATGTGTGCTTTTTCTCTGGCTTTAAAATTTTAAAAGAAAAAAAAAAGCCATAGAGAGCAGAACTTGCTGAGGGCCATTTATTGCCCATGTTTACAACAGTAGCGATACAAGTTTTTGCAAATTGAATTTGCCTCAGATTTATCTGTCCTAATGCTTTTATTTGCACAAGTATGTAAAATATGGTACCGAGTGTCATTTTTTTGTTGGAAATACTGCTCTTGCTGAACTGTCTTGACCATTGACTATGACACAGTTTCTTGTTTATGTAAATATTTGCATCCCAGTGCTCCGTAGACATTGGATGCAAAAACCTAGAGCCAGTTTTCAGGAACAATTGCAAACCTGACATGGTACTGTGCATCTATTCATATAACACTTAAAACTGTGAAAATATGGTTTACATTTAATTGTACATAAAGGTAAGTGGAGAACTTGATTCAGTAGCAGTTAGCTTGTACGTTTGTAGGGGCTTCTTGCATTAACTGCCCATCTATGTAATTTATAGTTTGACATGATGTGTTTGTTTAAAAAAATTACATAGTATAAACCCACTAAGGATCTGAGGGAAGAAAAGAAGCTTAATGTAGAACTAAGCTCTTACAGTTTGTTTTATTTTATTAATTCTGGTCTTGGTGCAGATGTTAGTTATGCCTTATTCATATCACAATTAGGTCACCATGCTGTGGCATGGTGTGTACTCATGCTGCCCTAGATACTTTTGTAATTATTTGTTGCAAACTTGTGACTGTCCCTATTAACTTTCTTTTATGTAAGTACTTTGTAAAAGTTTCTTAAAATTTTTGCTTTTGCTTATTTAATTTTGAATAAAAGCTAAATTCATAATTTTTTTCTTAAAATTTAGATCGGTTTCAAAAAAGACTATTAAATGCTTACTATGAAGGTAACTAGAGTAAATGAAGAGTTTACCTATATATTCCTCAAAATGTATCAGGTAGCAAAAAGAGTTACATGGTTTTGTATCCAGATCTTCAATGTATAATGGCTGTGTGTGTACACTTTAATGCCAATTAAGTGCTTTCAGTGTTTACATACACACACTAGTGTGTATGCTTACCATTTGATACGAATTTTGTGGAAACCTTTGATAGTTCTTACCTACATGTTTTTTGAGTGCATTTTTGGAATTTTTTCCCACTGTGCATTCTATACACTTTATCAAAAAAAACTAGCAAAAGAACCAATTTTTTGTTCCTCCTATCACCTTCTAAAGTGCCTAAGTCCTGTTGTGAATTTGGCATTTCAAGCCAAAGTAGCTATTTCCTATTCATTATACACTTGTGTACATGCCCAGTTCTTCTTGCTAAAAGCCAACTCAGGAGAACTCTGAACTCCGTAATCTGTTTTCTTTATACTTCACTAGCAACACTTAAGGAGTGACTGAAACAAATACATAAACCATCTCCTGAGTGGCAGAACTGCAGTCTAGCAGTACTAGCAGTTTTAAGTAGGCATAGGCTGACCACTAGGGAAATAAGGACCAGCTTAAAAAATAAGTGAAGTTGGGTGCCAGTGGCTCACATCTACAATCTTAGCTACTCAGGAAGCTGAGATTTGAGGATTGAGATTGAAAGCCAGCACTGGCAGAAAAGCCTATGAGACTCTAGTCTTCAGTTAGCTACTAAAGAAAATCCAAAAGTGGAGCTGTGGCTCAAGTGGTAGAGTGCTAACCCTGAACACAAATGCTCAGGGACAGTGCCCATCCCCTGAGTTCAAGCTCAGGATGGGCAAACACACACACAACCAAAAATGAGATTAAGCTGGCTAAATTGAGCAAGTATCTGAGGTCCTTTCCTCCTTTAAAACAACAGGAAAGAAAGTGAAATCTCATTCGAATATCGTGAGAACAGAATGCCTTTGAGGAATAGGTGAAATATGGACATGATTTTGCAGAAATGGAAGACTACAGAAAAGTCTCCACAATCTCTACTTAGAACAGCTAGATCCTTCTGGATTTTTCTAGCTCTACTTGGTCTGGCAATAGGTAGCAAGAACAGGTGTTCTCAGACTACAGTGTGGCATTTAGACCTTGGACCACAGAATATCCATAAACTTCTTAGGGCTACAGAACCTCAGAAGAATGAGGAGCCCTCATGCAAGAAGCCACTGATGTGCCTTCTATGGGAGATTGTTCAGTGTTCTCCATGATCAGCACTGTTGGAGGATGTTGTAATCTCCTAATGATCTGAGAGTCAAAAATGCTCCTCAGTCAGTCCTGGTTATTATTAGAAGCTGAATTAATGAATTAATCATGAAAATAAGGTCTGTAGTTGAGCAAGCCAAAGGATTGGGTGTAATAAAGAATGAATGAGGTACAGGATTAAGAACTCAACCCAGAATATAACACCAAGGGCTGAAAAACAATGAGAAAAACTGAGTCATGGATAATAAACATTCACATTTTTAATGTCCAGCTAATAAAAGTTCTTGTGTCATGCAGAAGGGAAGAAATAAACAATACAAGTAATTTTCTCTCAGTCAAGTCTAATAAAATATTCTAAGTGTGTTCGTGGGGACCAGAATCATCCATTTTAAAGAGAAAATGTAAGGCAAGCTTCAGTCAAAATGACAGTTCTCTGGTATTAATCAGCAAAGACAGACTGAATAATATGAATTTAAAGATACTATTTCTTCCTAATCTAATATTTAAATGCCAACATTTACAAATTATTAAGCATTTGTGTATGTGTGCCAGTATTAGGGCTTAAACTCATAGCCTGGGCGCAGTCCCTTAGCTTTTTACACCCAAGTATGGCCCTCTACCACATAGGCTACAGTTCTTCCTGCTTTTTGTTGAATAATGGGAGATAAAAGTCTCATGGATTTTCTTTCCCAGGCTGGCTTTGAACTTCTGCCTTCAGATCTTAGCCTCCTGAGTAACTAGCATTACAGGCATGAGCCACTATTGTCTGACATAAATATTTTTTAAAAGAGACTTAAAATAAGGCTTAATAAATGAGTTCATTTGGTGATAGGTCTCTTAATAGCTTTTAGATACTTACCAATATTAAATCATCCTTAAAAGTATGTTTAGGAAGTAGTCATGTCACATAAATAGGATTTTTAAAAGAATATATGCTTAATGGGGTAGACAGCATATTCAGCCCTCAGAAAAAATTCGTGCAAATATAGTATTCTTATTTAGGGGAGGAAACAAACACTAAGTTTTAAATAAATTGTCTACAAGTTAACACAACTGCTGTGATGGGACTGGTTCTGAACCTGGATGATTTTCTGGCACTTTATTGTCAAATAAAATGGAGGGTGTGGGATTGGTTTTGATATACCAGGCTTTATATGTCATGAGTGTACTTTAAGCTGTGGAATTGCAGCAAATGTATTCTTTTGTTTGTTTGTTTTTTGGTGCTGGTGGGGCCTGAACTAGGGCTTGGGTGCTTTTTTGCTCAAGGCTAGCACTTTACCATTTGAGCCACAGCTCTCCTTCCAGCTTGTTGGTGATTAATTGGAGATGAGAGTCTCATGGGCTTACCTGCCCAGCCTGACTTCAAACCTCTGTCCTCAGATCTTAGCCTCCTGAGTAGCTAGGATTATAGGTGTGAGCCATTGGCTTCTGGCCAACATACGAATTCTTTTGTTTTGTGTATCATTTTTCTTTAATTTTTTAATTATATTTTATTGTATAGATGATGTACAGAAGTAAGGTGTTGAGTACATTTCTTATCAAACATTGTTAACACTTGCCTCTTTTTTCTTTTTTTCTTTTGTCAGTTATGAGGGCTGAACTCTGGGCCTGGGCACTGTCCCTTAGCTCTTCAGCTCAAGGCTAGTGCCCTACCAGTTGAGCCACAGCACCACTTCCGGCTTTTTTCTGCTTCTGTGGTGCTGAGAAATCTAACCCAGAGCCTCATGCATTTGAGGCAAGCACTCTACCACTGAGCCACCTTCCCAGCCCCCCTGCCTCTTTTTTCTACTTCCCTTCCCCCCTCTAAGTTGTTAAGTTCATTTCCAACATAGTGTCTTGTGAGTATCACTGTTGCATTGATTCACCCTTTGTCCTTTGTCACACCATTTTTTCATTCCCCTCTCTTCCCCAAATCAGATAAACAATACAAGACACAGGGTACCAAAATCAAAAACAGTGACAACAGGGGATAAACCAAAGGGGGGGGGGAGAAAAAAGAAATAACTTCACATGGTACATTAACAGCAACAACAACAAAATCCTCTTGTTTCCATTTCTTGGAGTTCATTTCGATTAGCATCATTTTATGTGATCATATGTACATAACTATTGATCTATTGTGATCCTCTGCTAGAACTATCCTAGACATATACTAATTATTACAAATGAGGGAAACCACAGAGCCTGTTTCTTTGGGTCTGGCTTACTTAATATGATTTTTCCCAAGTCTTTCCATTTCTTTATGAATGAGACGGTATCATAATAGAAGCATAGAATTCCAGTGTGTATATATACTACATTTTCTTGTTCCATTCATCTACTGAGGGACATGTGGAAGATCTTCATTAGCTATACAACAGACAAGGGCCTCATATCTAAAATATCCCTAAAGCTCAAAAACTTAACCCCCCAAAACGAATTCTCAAACAATCACCCCATTAATAAGTGGGCTAAGGAATTTTAAAAAAGACTTCTCTGGAGAGGAAATAAGAATGGCCAATAGACACATGAAGAAATGTTAATATCTCTTGCCACAAAATAAATGCAAATCAAAACTACATTGAGATTCCACCTCACCCCAGTTAGAATGGCCATTATCAAGAAAATAAATAACAGATTCTGGAGGGGATGTGGCCAAAAGGGAACTCTACTACACTGTTGGAATGTGAACTTGTTCAACCACTCTGGTAAGCAGTATGGAGGTTCCTCAAAAGACTAAAACATAGAGCTCCCCTGTGATCCAGCAGTCGCCCTCCTGGGTATTTGCCCAAACGATCACAAGGCCACGCTAAAACTACCAGTACAACTATGTTCATTGCAGCATTATTTACCATAGCACATGACCTTTTAAGTACTTACTGTAAGAAACTCAGGGATCAATACTGTACTTTGGAGAGCAGTGTTAGGAGGCTAAGAAAAAGAGAGATTCGAAACCATTTGGGGAAGAAAGTCCTGCAGGCACCAGCTCCAAAATAACCAGCAAAAAGCTATGTTGGAGGTATGGCTCAGGTGGTAGAATATCAGCTGAGCAAGCAAGAGGCCCCAGCACCAACAAAAACATTAAAGAGAAGAGTATGTAGAAACATGTAATTCAGAATTGTTGTACTACCATGATTACTGTGGGTATGTGTAGAAGTAAAGATTTGAAGATAGGCAAAAATGAAAGTGATAGGATTGAAGAACATATTTTTGTGTAGAAATCCTGTTTGCTTCTACAAGAATCTTAAGTGAATCCATTATACAGTCCCATCTGTGATTGTGATAGAAGATCCTTTATATGTTATAGTTACACTGAAAAATATTATATCTCCAGCATAAAAACTTGATGGTCTAAAGCTGGAAACAGTAGGATGGTGTAAAAAAAAAAAAAAATATATATATATATATATATATATGAGGGCTGGGAAGGTGGCTCAGTGGTACAGCACTTGCCTTGTATGCATGAGGCCCTGGGTTTGATTCCTCAGCACCACATAAGCAAAAAGAAAAAAGCCGGAAGTGGCGCTGTGGCTCAAGTGGTAGAGCGCTAGCCTTGAGCTGAAGAGCTGAGGGACAGCGCCCAGGCCCAGAGTTCAGGCCCCACAACCATACCAAAATTTTTTTTAAAAAATATGTATATATATATATATATGCATGAGAACTAATGATAGGAGAAAGAGTATTA